AAGGTAGGTACAGAGAATATTTATTGGAGATAAAGGAACTGTAGATGAGTGTAGAGATAAGCTTGAAGATGGAATGAGAGAATGGCTGTGTAATCACCAGGTTTAGGAAATAGTTACATAAGAACCTGGGGGGGAAAGGGGGTTTGAGAAAGAAATTTAAGATTATCCCACTTTGATTCTCTTTACTATAAGAATGGGCAAAGAGACATTCTGTTTTCAGAGTTTCAGCAGTCCAGTGAAGTTTGTTTCCTGACCTGGTCTACCTTAAAGGTCTGAGATAAATAATCCGAACCCAGAAAAATTTCTTATAGTACAGGAGTTAGAAAGGATAGTGTGCAGAAAAGAAATAAATAAATCATACTGCCTCCATAACTTTTCTAAGCCTGTTTCTAGGCTCATAGGAAATTTTTAATGTTTCATTAGGTAAATACTCCAGGCAGAATTCTCAAAGTATATATCAAAATGCTGTTATTGTTCTTTTCTTCATGTAAATGAAGTGTATGTTGCAAAACTAGATTTTAATTTTTTTTTTCTTTTCTTTAGCAAACTAGAATTTGATCCATGCTGTATCAATCATTTGCTTTCTAAATGATTCAGCCATTCCCGTAATGTCACAATAGCTCATTTGGGTGGGACATGGATAAAATTACAAAACAAGAAAAGTACAAAAAAACAAAATGCTACAATTTTTGCTTTAATTTTCCAAGTGGGAATACATCCACCCTGCTCATAGAAATTATTGGGACAAAATATTTACAAGCAAAATTGCTTGTAAAGATGGCATGTGCATTTTTTCTGCTTTTACAAGCATGAAAAGCTCTGGGAAACACAAATATGGATGGAGCTTAAATTCTCTAAAACACAAAGCTTAATAGTCTTATTGGGCTGTGCTTAAATAATACTAAGCCTCAGAGACTTCTATGAGTAGAAACATATCAGTGACATGTGCTACAGTTTGAGGTCAATCCAAAGGAACAGAAGAAAATCCATACTGAAGTAGAGTGAAGGTCTATCTATGTCAGCCCCCTCCAAGCACCCAGTTTTTAACAGTGTCTAGCAGTTTTTTCTTTAAAAAAAAAACATTGCAAACTGGTCATGAAGAGCCTATTTGCCTTACTATTGTGGTTATAAATTCCCCAGAAGAATCTGTACCACTCCCTACCAGTAAAGACTTGGTGGGAAAAAAATCTGGTTTTGCCATTTTTCAAAGCACTGGGAGAATGAGAATCAAATTCACCATTTGGCTGGGAGCCACAGAAAAGAAGGTCCTTTACTGTAGACCACATAACTGAGCTTCTGGCTGTGGAGAATCTTCAAAGGGGTCTCTCTTGTTGAATTAATTGGACAGTTTTATAGTGGGAGAGGTAGATACTCATATGTAGGATGTCAATGGTCAACAGCAACACCTTAAATTGTGGCAGATAGCCAGCGATCCTTGTCCTTACATTGGTTAGCATCCTAGCCACCTCTTTTGGCACCAATTGCAGTTTTTGTATACATTTTAAGAATTGTAATAGTGTAGCGTATGTTACAATAGTCAAAATGGTTGCAATTAAGACATGGATAGATGTTATTAAATCTGATCAGTGCAGGAGGGATCACAACTGGAGCACTAGTCTTAATGCTATGGTAATAATTGGTTATGTAGAGTTAGATGGTAGAGAGCAATGATCCCAATTCTGTCACACAGAGCAGATTCCATGCTTCTATAGTACTGAAAGCTGCCAAAAGGTCCAGGAAAACTGTTAGGTTTATACCAGTCCCAACATAGGTCATTCACCAACATAATCAAGGCAGATTTAGTACCATCTCCTAGATTAAACCCCACTCATCTAGATAATCAGTTGCATCCAAATCCATTTAGAGTTGTATGAGGTTGCCATGTTCTCACTAGCCCAACCCAAAAATGGAATTCTTGAGGGAGGTCTATAAGTACAGAGGGATTTTTCAGGAAAGGTCATGTACAGTTTTTCAGACTCCCCAAAGAAGGTGTTTGAAAAGATAAGCATCAGATTTTCTTTGATGGAGGTGTAAAAAAAATTGAGGACTCATTGACCCATATGATATAGTCATGGATTATCTGATATATTTTTGGAATAATGTTCTAATGCATATAGATTTGTGGGAAAATCTTTAAATGTTAAATATGTGAATGTGATGTTGAATTATATATCAAAGATTTGCAATCTGAATGTTCATTAGGAATTAACAAATATAGTAATCTCACTGCGCAGTTACATATGTGTTTACTATGAAGTAACTCTTAGTTCAGACAGAAATACGAGTATTATAGGAGGAAACACTGTAAATAAATACTATAACAAGAGAGCTGAGATTGTAGCTGTTCAATCCCAATTGTAGTTAAAATTAGATCACATTATTACCTCAGATGCTAATAGGGAGAAGCATGCTAAAGCCATCAGGTTAGAAACCAGGAGACTTGAATTCTAGTCCTGCCTTAGGCATGGAAACCAGCTGGGTGACTTCGGGTCAGTCACTCTCTTTCAGGTCAATCCACCTTGAAGAGTGGTTGTTGTGGGGAAATAGGAGGAAAAATGTGTTAGACATGTTTGCTTTCTGGAGTTATTTATAAAAATAATAAAGGTGGGGTAAATAAAAGATGTAAGATTGTCTTTGAGACTATATATCTTATCCATCTTTTCAGGACCAATCAGTACTTTCAGTTTGTTCATTCATGGTTTTATTGTTCATTTGTCTAATAATGCAGTGTTTTGTATGTAATTATTCTGAAGTGTTTTTGCCACCTTAAAAGCATCTGCTATTAGAAAGCTAAGGATAGATATGTAAGCAATATTATTTGAGGTAGTGGTTTTGTATTCAAACTTATTAATAAATCCTGTTTGCATAAATCTAAACTTTATTTGCAAGATAAAGGCTATGGAAGCTATTGAACTGTGTTTAAACATCTCTGTAGTCATAATACTGGAGTTTTGTTTTTATTTTCCAGAAAGTATATTTGATTTTAAAGCAATATCTTCCAATAATAACAGAACTGACTGGGAAACTGATTTGTGGTTACTTGAAAGTGAAATCCATGAAAAGGAACAGATGTTTAAATACTCTGCTAATTCTCTTACAGTAACTCAGCAATTAATAAACTAATACAAAATTTGAGCCTTAAGAATTTGTTTTGAGAACATAAAGGACTGCTGACCTCTTTTCCTAGACAACAAATAAGACAAGGAAAACAAACAAAATGTCTGAAAAGAGCAGCAGGTGGCTTTTCAGTAAAAGCTATTAAAAGTGTAAGTTAAACTCAATAAATCAAATTTACTTTTCTTTGCTAAGGTTTCCTACTCCATAACACTTCCTTTCAGGAGATGAATGGTTTCAGCCACTGTCCTCTGAAAACACCTGTGCAACTGATGTTTGTTGGATTTTCTTGTTGGCACTGAACTGGCTAAATTGTATCTCTATAGTTGAATATCCCTACCCCCACCTCCACCCCACCCCTACCCCCCCTCTCTCTCTCCCTCCCTCCCTCCCTCTCTCTCCTCACAGCACAGTGTCTACTTTTGTGTACTTGGAATCTATGCTGGCATCTCAACTCAGACAATGCTTAGCAAATTAACATTTTATCTGAAAATGGCTGAATGATATTTAAGCAAAGCTCACAGCTAAGAGCAGATGATGATATTGAATCCTTACGTAATAATTCATTATTATTATTGTTGCTGCTACTGCTGCTTCAGATCACAGAGTATGTATGAAGGTAGGGTTTTGACCTTCGTTTCCTGCACAGATGCTTCTCTTTCATCTCCTTCTCAACCAATTCTGAGTTCTCCAGCATACAGGTTACCATATTAAAAAAAATATATAATAAAGCTCTTTTACTCCACTTCTGTTCTGATCATTCTTTCTCTGGTGAAAGGGCTGTATTACATAGATACCATTGTTTCTCTCACATCAGTTCTAATCAGGGGAGCTATTCAGCAGGTTCTGACAGATTCTGGAAAACCTGTAGCGGAAAATTTGAGCAGTTCAGCGAACCGGTAGCGGAAAGTTTGAGTAATTCAGAGAACTGGCAAATGCCACCTCTGGCTGGTCCCAGAGTGGGATGGGAATGGAGATTTTGCAATATCCTTCCCCCAGGAGTGGGGAGGCAATGGGTATTTTGCAGTATCCTTCCCCTGGAATGGGATGGGAATGGAGATTTTGCAGTATCCTTCCCCTGCCACGCCCATCAAGCCACACCACACCCAAGAACCAGTAGTAAAAAAAATTGAATTCCACCACTGGTTCTAATGAAATGGAATGTCTCATGATTGGCATACTGTTTTTGTTGATAATATAGCCACCATTAAACAGCGTCTTCCTATCCCTGGTCCTTGGGAAGGACCCGATAGTTGAATAAAAAGGCCAAATCTAGTTTAAGCATCTGGCTGGCTGACAAAACATAATAAAATGGGAAGAACAACAAATTGGAAAAGTAAGAAACAAAGGGTCTTCACTCTCACACTCTCCTTCCATTTGGGTGAAAAGATCCCCTTAAGAGCCATGAGCATTATTTTTAGCAAGCAGATCGTTAAAGTAGTACAGTGCAACATAATGAAATTTAAATTATATGGTATCCAGTGAACTGCCTAATGGTTCATAGGCACAACCATGTGTCAGTGGCAGTGGTGAAATTCAACCGGCTCTATCCAGATCACATGATCTGGTAGCACCAGTGGTGGGAGGTCCGCCCACCCAGCCGGAAGTCATCACATCCCGTTTTTGACCTTCTGAGCATGCGCGGAGGAGGTGTGCACACTCACATTTGCAAACCTGTAGCAAAGGTAAGTGAATACCACCCCTGGTCAGTAGCAAATGTAACAAGACCCAATGATATCGAATGACAACACGAGCAATATGAACTTATATAATGATGTTGTAATAGTTGACACAAGCACACGTGTTGCATCATTTTCAGGAAGACATAATTGCACTCATGTTATCATTGTCCATCTTTGGCCTGCCTGTTCTGTCCTCATCCCACACGCACACACACCAACAGACGTCCAAGAGTTAAAAACCAAACCAGCCGACAAAATCCTTTTCCTTATGATAACGGAACTTGGCAACAACCTAGTGGCTGCCTGCCAAGAGTTTATTACTCACGAAGAGATAACATCTCTCTGCTTCTGGTACATCAAAGTAAAATGTTCAATAATTACAGTGTAAATCAAGTCCAAATATAATCCAGCAAAGTCTATAGCAAAAGTCCGGCAATGCAGAATGGCATGGAAGCTTTCAGCTTTGTTCGTCACAAGGCTTGACTGGCCACCACGCTCCCTTTTATACCCTGTGGGGTGTGGTCCAGTGAGTCAGCCTAATCTCTGGCACGCATTTTCTTCTGTTATGCGCGCTTATCTCTGCGACGCTGTCGAGGATCCAGCCAAGACTCATTACTCTCATCACTGTCCACCTGTGGCTGTGTGGACATGCTTGGCCCCGGCCCTATCTCTTGCCCTTCGGCGAACACCGAAGGCATTGCCAAAGAGGAGGGTCCTGGAGAGAGAGGCCTTGCCAACTCCTCTCCTTCACTCTCGGAGTCCTCTCCTGCCGATGACACAGGCTCAGGTAACGGAGCCACAACACTGCCTTGACTACAGTATGTGCCTCCATTTGCCTTAGCCCAAGAATCTATCTAAATCAAGTGCTGGTTTTAATTACCGCAATGCTTCAGGAAAATATTTTTTTTCTTCTATAGGAAATAAGTAGTCCAAATTACACCAATTGGCCATATAATAATTTAAGACAAAAAACACCAAGGGCCTAAAAACCAGTAACCAAGTACCAGCTGGATTTCACAAAAGGGGAAGACCATTTCCAGGTGTGTTCAAGTCATCTTTTTGAATAAAAGAGAGAGGAAAGTTTTAATATATTCCCCATCAATCAAGCGCATCCCAGCCTTTTGACTTAAGGGAAGGAGAAAGAACTTTGAAAATCCCATCACTGGATTCCATTTCAGCAGCCAACAGCTAAAAATAGGCCTGCTTTCTTATGGAAAGGTATATAAAGTTGAAGAGCAAAAGCAGGCAACTTAAGATAAACTTCTCCAAGTCGTCTGAATTTGGTGCCAAACGTACAGGGCAGCCTGATAGTTAAGAGGCCTCTTGTGCCATTTTTAGAACTTGAAAAGGGCTGATGACCAAACACCCCATGCTGGGAAGCAACCATGGAAAAATAACCTGATCTGTAATGAACAAGCAGTCTAATAATTTTAACTATTCTTTGAGGTTTCTTTTATGTTATTTTGCGTAATGACTCTAGCAGACTCTTCCATCAGAATTCTTGTTAAAATATGTAACAATGAATAGCCTGTGCAGTTCTATGAAAACAGCGCACTATGATCTGAAGTCCTATCTGATGAAGCTTTGTGGGAAATTCAGAATAGTCCCATCCCCATATATGGACTTTTCTGCCAGCGGCTCCAAAACAAGGACATTTCTCTGTTTGTTTTTTGATAACTCCACTTTTCTAAGAGGAAAATTGCTTTATCCCTAAAAATTTGAATACATTTTATTTAATGCTGGTGCATGATCTCCTTAATTAGTTGTTAAACTTTTGTTAATATCTCTTCTCTAATTCTTGCTTCTTCTTGCTTAGCATATCTTGAAGGACCTGCAATGACAAAAGAGGAAAATAGAATGTTATCAGATATACGTATGTTAATGTGGAATTATTCTACTAGGCCTTTCTCCAGAACACAAATTTGCAATATCTGGATATGCTATTTGATTAAACACTGACATAATCTGGGACAGGCAAATGTGAATTTTCTAAATTAAATTTCATCTTTTACCTCTATGACAGATGCTCCATACTGGGGGTTAGTATTCTTCTTGTACTCTCACAACCCAGATTTAAGAAGTACTAAAGGATCCGTATCAGTGGTGGGTTCCTCCCGGTTCCACCGAGCTGGTAGCGGTGACAATATGATGTCACCAAACCGGTTCTGCCCCCACGCCATCCACCCCCCACCACGCGTTATTCTTACCTTTTATTTGGCCCCACCCCCAATCTATTGCTGCCTCCTGAGTCCCAACAGATGGGCTATAAGGAAAAACTGTTTAAACTCTTGTCGCAGGACTTCAAAGGGCTGCCCTACAGCTGATCAGTGGTAAAAGGCAGTTTGGTGGTAGACCGGTGCCTCCAAAAACAAATGAGTAGACTGGTGCCTGCAAAAATAAATGGGTAGACCAGTGCCTGCAAAAATACATGAGTAGACCAGTGCCTGCAAAAATAAAAGGGTAGACTGGTCCAGCTCTGCAAGCAGTTAAAAGCCTGGTAGACCAGTATCTCTGCTAAATCCTAAAGAATTGTCACATGACCATCAAGCCACACCCACAAAATAAGCCACGCCCACAGAACTGGTAGTAAAAAAATTTAGAACCCACCCCTGATCCATATCAGTGATTAAAAACCCCAATATACTTCCTGACTAGCAGATTAATTGGTTGGTTGGTTGGTTGATTGATTGATGATTGATTGATTGATTTCAGGTGCAATATCACAATATCAAACAGCAAAATAAAAATACAGTACAATGTAAACAAGATGGTATTTTACCAGTGAATGAATAGCATGTATAGACTCATCCATCAAGATGGTTTCATCTAGAATAGAAGAATAACTTTATTGTCACTTTGAATGTACACTAATCGGCATACATTAAAATTTCATTGTATACAGCTCTCAAAGGATCACCACTTCCAATATACACTACATATAAGTGGCAGAATAAATAAATAAATAAATAAATAAATAAACAAATAAATAAATAAAAAATTATGCATATACCCACATACTGTATATGACACAGAAAAACAACACAGTCTACATCAGTGTTTCCCAAACTTGGCTATTTTAAGATGCATGGACTTCAATTCCCAGAATTCCCCAACCAGTATGCCTGGTTGAGGAATTCTGGGAGTTGAAGTCCATACATCTTCAAAGGGTCAAGTTTGGGAAACACTGGTCTACATCTACACTACCCCAAGGCCTCAGAGAACACCATCAAGGCCTTCAAGGTCTCCAGGACACCTTTACCGTGTTTCCCCGAAAATAAGACTGGGTCTTATATTAATTTTTGCTCCAAAAGACACATTAAAGCTTATTTTCTGGTTAGGTCTTATTTTGGGGGAATACAGTACTAAATGCATCCATCTGGCTGACAATCTTAACTGGGGCTTATTTTGTGGGTAGGGCTTATATTACGAGCATCCTGAAAAATCATGCTAGGACTTATTTTCTGGTTGGATCCTATTTTTGGGGAAACAGGCAGACACATTGATCTCAGAAGGGATTTTGTTCCAGAGGGAAGCATCATGTGAGAGAAGGCATATTTCCTGAATAGTGATAGATAGCATTGTTCAATCAAAAGGATCTGGACTACGCCAATTCTGCCAACTGATATCAGCCAGGCAGAAATTATGAGATAGGTGGTTCCACAAAAACCTGGACTCATGCCATGTTGAAGATAATGTTTTTTCTTTTAGGAAACATTTTTTTAAAAACTTGGTAAAAGAATCTGAGTGAATAGATTAATCTGTTACTTTCATGAGACACATTAGAAACGTTTATTTAATTTAATATGATTTTGACTATGCCATCAGCATGGCTTCCAGATTATAATTTTCCATTGTGTTTGTATGCCAAAACACAATTTAAATTCCTTCATATTTTGTCTAGGGGGACAAAAGAGGAATAAATAATGCCAATGGCTCATAGTCATTCTTCAACTATTGTTAGTTGTGATAAAAAAAGAGGGAAAAGAAACTGTTATTATTGTAGAAAAAAAGCTTCTTGCTCAAGTTTTCCAAAATAAGTTGGACCATTTTTGTTTGCCAAGTCTCTGGTGTCACAGGAGATGATTCTTCTTTTCTGTCATTTGATATTCAACTTTTGGGGAATCTCCTAAAATTTAATTAGGATTAGAGGAAAGTGATCCAACAGAAATGGGAGCTATATGTAAACAAAGATATAGTTTCTAGATAAATAGGACCTTCAAAATACTGGAGGGAACGTTTTTGTGGCTGCAGATGAACATTCCTGAAAGCAGGAAGTTGACCTGAGCAATGATTAGTGAAGCAGGTTTGATGTTCGTAACAGAAAGATTTATTTAAAGAAATTAAAATAGGAAGAGAGATAGGCAAGTATCTAGCTAACCGAATGGCAGGGAATAAGACCACCATGCATTCCCACTCAGGAACAAAGGCAAAAGAGAGTAACCTGAGATTAGTAGGACACAGGGAGGAGGTGGTGTAAATCCTTACGTAACTTTGTCACTCTCTACTGCACCGCCTATTCTGATCTTGTCAAAATATCTGAAATCTCATTATTTAGATAGCAGAAATAAGAAATTAGATTTCTGGCAAAAAAATACAAACCTAAAACCCTACCCATTGTCGCCAATTTGGTCAATTAATGACTGTGGCATTCATTTAATGACTGCTTTACAATCACCACATTCACTTGATGAACACCATAAAAAAAGTAACATTGGGTGCAGTTGTGTTGTGTAGTGACCCACTTACTGACTCACATGACTTATGATTATAATTCCAGACCCAGTTATGGTCGTAAGTCAAGGAGTACCTGTATTTTCAGTCTTCCACTTAGTAAAACATTTTTTTTTCTGTCAAAAGGTATTGCCAATTGTGCTTGATTCCATCCAAAATTTTTCTCCTTGAATGTAACAGAATGACTAGGATATGAATAATGTACTTTCCTACAGAACTTGAATACATATTTACAAAGGCTCCTGGCTCTCCCCACTTATGCAACAAACCATTGCTAGCTTGTTTTATTTTCCCCTATTCAGATTTAGGAGACTGCCTGCTCAATAAAATAATGAGATCGTCATCATTGTTCCATTTCACCCATATCAGATTTGCAAGAAAGTTTTCCTTTTCCATCTAAACGCAGCAGATGTGTTTCAAGATACAAAGGATTAAAACTCAAAAAAAAAAAAATAGCCATAGTAATTTTTTCCATATGTTACAACTGCTGAATAAAACCTAAATTGTTTCCATTTTGGAACAATAAATAACACAGTGGTTTGGTTTTGTAAACTTATCTATCCTGGACAATATTTTTTGTGATTTGGAACAGGTTGAAGAGAGAAAAGAAGTTAGCAACATGAGTGCCATTTCTTACATGCTACTTGATTTAATCTGTGATTGTTTGAGGTACTTGTTCACATGGAGCTTTTCCTCTATATAATATGTACATATAGGAAAAAAATTAACTACCTGGGCCTGGCTAAATCTTGTAAGAAGTGAAGAGTCCTTGGTGCTCTCTGAACCTGGTTGTTCTCTTGCAGATGTTTCATTATGTAGCATCATCAGTGCTTCTAAGAAGTTCTAAAAGCAGATGGAAATGATGGTAGCTTAGAGCTATTTCTAAATATGTTGGTCCATTTCTGTTTTCAAAGTCTCTGATATCATAGGAGATGATTCTTCTTTTGTGTCATTTAATATTTCTTTTTATTCTTTATTGGCCAAGTGTAATTGAACATACAAGGAATTTGTCTCTGGTGCATAAGCTCTCAGTGTACATACAAGCAACAAAGTGATATCCTTTCTCCCTGGAGATGTATGTGATTACATAAAATGGGTTAGCGGGTATGGTGAGATTCCCACCTAAATTCAGGGGTGGGCTGCTGGGGGTTCACAGGAGTTCAGGAGAATCTCTAGCTAAGATTCTGTGCAGTTCGGAGAACCCCCAAATCCCACTCCTGGCTGGCCCGCCCACCCCATCCTGCCCCTCCCACGAGTCCCCACACAGCCTGTTTTGGATGCAGGTAAGTGCTGGAGGCTTGGAGAAGGCAAAAAATGGGCCTACCGGAAGTTCAGGAAGGCTGGAAACGGGCTTGTTTCCGGCCTCCAGAGGGCCTCCAGAGCCTGGGGAGGCTGTTTTCGCCCTCCCGGAGGCTTGAGAAAACCCTCCAGAGCCCAGGGAGGGCAAACCCCAACCACCCCCACCATGGTGCAGGGAGCCAACTTGGCCATGCCCACCATGGCCACGCCTACCCAGCAACCAGGCAGAGAACCCCTTGCTAAAATTTTTGAAGCCCACCCCTGCTTAAATTCCTCTATAGCTGAAATCTAGAGAGGCCAAGGTTTGACTCTGAGTGAGTGAGTGAGTGAGTGAGTGAGCGAGTGAGTGAGTAGGGAAATCTCTGGTGCTCTATTAGTGTATGTGTTTAAAGCAAAGGATATAAAGAGTTTAAATCAGAAAGTACATGCAGTAAATATGTACAGCACCCTCTTTCCTTGCAGTGTAAAAGAACATTACGTGAAGTGCAGATAAATGTGAATGATAAAATTCATAAACCAGCAGTGATTTCTAGGTGTCCTGAGTCCCTGGATAAATAAGAACAAGTTGTGCTGAAGGTATTATAAAGAACCCCTTCATAATCCTCTCATATATGACCAGACCTATTTAGGATATTATTGGAAGAATAATATTGTTTTAGATAAATCACTCTTCGCTCATGTGAACAGCTAAAGGCTTCGTATATCATTATAATTCAGGTACAATAAGCAATATAGTACAAGCCTTTGTTCATCTTCTAGACGGCTCATATTGCCTGCACATCTTTTCATTCCCCCAAAGAGTTGTTAGTGAGATTATATGGAGACATGTTGAGTGCTTCTTTTAGTCTGTAAGTTGTAAGTGCTACCTGATAACTTCTTTGAACAGAAATGCCCATTTCTGAGGAAAGAATTAAGGTAAGAATCCAGGGAGAAGAAGCACAAAGACAAGTGGCTTTAGAAGGTAGTCATTACACAACAACCCCCATAAATAACCTTTGAACAATAACTTCATTGCATGACTTTATCCCAGCTATAATGTCAGCTGCCACCAGGAAAATGTTGAAAAAGTGCTGGAGAATATTAATAGCTACTTCCTCCTGTACTGTTGGATGAACAGTTGGAAAAAAGTCATAGATATTTGTATTTCGACAGGTACTGTGTACATGATAACTGCAGCGAGATTATTTTTATGCACAGACATGGAAAACATTTGGCAACACCTGCAATGGAAAAATGTTTGGTGAAGATGAAAGAACCTGTTGAGTTGGCCAAACTGGCCTGTTTGATTAGAGAAAAGACAATATGTATTTTTTTATTGCTGACAGGAAACTCATTATGGACTCTCTGTGTACAATATTAAAAAATGAACTTATGATCTATAGTTTAGATGATTAGCTAGAATAGATTAGAAGAGAGGCATGGTGTAATTTTAGAGAAAGGTAAATCCATAATTGTACTTTTAAATGCAGTAAAAGAAGATCAAAAGTCACTTCTTTATCTTTTTCTTTCATTTCTATTTTCTTATAGGTTTAATTTTCATTCTCTTTGTACAATTTGGTTTTCTATTTTATTTCTTCCCTGTTTTCCTCCTTCCTTTATTTTAGTTTGTAGCAATTTTTACTCATTTTTAATAAAATTGTATTTATTATCATATTAAAAAAGAGAACACTAATATTTATTTATTTATTTATTTTATTTTATTTTATTCGGCTTATATGCCGCCCTATCTCCCAATGGACTCAGGGCGTCTCACAATAAAAACACAAGCCACAATACAAAATAAAATCTAAAATCTAAAAAATTTAAAATTTAACCCTTAAAACCCCCCATCAGACCAGGTCAAGCGATTTAAAAAGCCAAGTTTTTAATTCACGACGGAAGGTGCGAAGGTCAGGCGCTAATCGGAGCTCCAAGGGAAGTTGATTCCAGAGGGTGGGCGCACCCACCAAGAAGGCTCTACCCCTGGGGGCCGCCAGCCGGCACTGTCTAGCCAACGGCACCCTGAGCAAGCCCTCTCTATGGGCACGAACCAGGCGATAGGATATCGTTGCTGGCTGTAGGTGGTCCGCCAAATATCCAACTATCCGCCAAATAGTTACTATGATTGCAGTAAAGCAAAGCATTGCACATGGAGTTTGTTTATAACCCATCTTATTTACTTTATGTCTGTATTTAATACCCTCTGGAAGGGGAAATATTGGCAATGATTAAAATTTACAAGACCTTTGAAGAGGTTGCTCTTACTTCAGCTGTCTTTTTAGGTCTCTGGACATTTTTTTCAAGGAATAAAAAGAATTATATCTATTAACAACAAACATTTTGAAACTTTAATCCACAACCTAAATAGTAATTTGTCTCTGCTATGTTTTTGTTCTTAAATATTATACAATTCTGGCGTATCAAAGTTAATATAAAAACCAGCGGGATATTAGAATTAATTTATCCAGTTCTGAGTGCGATATGTAGTACTATGCAAATATGTCTGTTCATTTTACTGCCATTCCTCTCTTGTAAGTTTTATGTAACACAACATATTAAAGGCTCTGATAATAACACAGTGAAAATAATTATCATTGATACCTGATATTCTTATACAACTTACAAGGAGCAGGATTCATTTCAGAACTATACTGTGCCTCTCAAACATTCATAGCATACATCTTTTGTCTCACTTAAGATCTCCCCCCTTTAAAAAAAAATCTTCACACTGAGGAAGGTAATTCAAATCATGAAGTTGAAAGGGGTCATTCCAACTCTTTGACAGATGCAAGAATCCAAATCCAAATTCAAACGCCCTAGTTCCAGAAAGATACCTGTACAGCCTCTGCTTAAAATCTTCCCATGAAAGGGAAGCCCACTATCTTTTTTGATAACTGGGTCTAGTGACATTTTTTTTTCTCCAGTTAGATGATAGGTACAACATTTTCATTCCTCCAGTTGTCTGGGACTTCACCAAAGTGCTCAAAGATAATAATACAATGCTATGATTTTAGCATTGTTGCATTATCATATTCAAAGTCTCATGTTTAATCAGACATCCACGTAGTTTTCTTAGGGAAAATGTAGAAATGGTTTAGAGTTGCCACCTTTTCAGTTTTCAACAACCAAACTGAGTTTACAGCTCCATCCATCTTTTCGATGATCCTTATTCAAATACCAACCACATCAATTTGCCCTGGCAATTTGCATCTCAGAGATGTTCACCTATATCTTCCAGTCCAACCTGGATAATTTCCTGATTTGATAAAGAGGAGATTAGAAACTATTCCTCATTCTCTCCCTCCCCCTCTCCCTCCCTCCCCCCCTTCTCTCTCATAAACACACAGAGTTATCATTTTCATAATCTATGTCCTAGTAGTATTCTAATGCTTTCATGTACAAAAATTTTGCCTTGGCTTATGAAACAAATACAATGTGGATGAAGAAAACCATGGAGAAATGAATGTAATCATAGACTTATTTCAGAGAACTGAATTGTTTATTTTAGTGCTGAGACCAAACCACAAACACATTTACTATAATGAAATCCATACATAAAAATGAAAATGAAGAAGAGAAAATACATCCCTGCATGACAATGTCACACCCGTAGACAATAAATGGCAGGTATCAGCCACCGCCTAACATTTCTGGACATTCCTCTAACAGGAGACTTCTATTGCAGAAAAAAAAATAGCTTGGAAATCATCATTTTTTTAACCCAACAATTATCCAACTTGAGGTTAATTTTTAAATTATATTTAGATTTCTGTACTGCAGTGATTAAGCATTTTTTTCATTTCCTAATTCAAACATTTCTTTCTTTCTTTCTTTCTTTCTTTGGAGCTTTTCATTTGCTGATGTCCTCCGATTATATCCATACCCTAAATTCAGAATAAAAATGAAAGTTAAAAAAAAAAAACAATCATGGGAAATTATTTCTTTGACACCTTTTTCTTGGCGCCTAGTACATTTCCTGATCTACTGTAACCTGGAAAAAAATCAGATTCCTAACACAATCATGATAAGACTCTTATTCTTGGATCAGATGTACATACCAAGTCATTATTGCTTTTAGACCCTTCCAGAATGTTCCTTTGTCTTATTATTCTATACTTTACATATGATAATAGGTTTTATCCCACTAAAGTAATAAAATATACATTTCCATCCTATTTGTCATAACTGGAAACTTTGCAAAACATTAAGCAGAATTTTAATTGGCATTACTAAAAACCATTTCATAAAAATGTATGGCTGTAAATCCAGACTGCTTAGCATTCCTGTACATAAAACTTCCACTGACAAATTCTGGATATTTGGCATTTTTGATAATCTCTTCATCATCTTACTTTTTCACCGGGAGTTGAAGGCTTTGAAAATTTGGTTGTCTGTAGGATACTGAGTATTTAAAATGAGATGTAAGATTTCCCTTTGAGGGAAGGCTTTCATTGGAAGTCCAGGCATTCCTTTCTATTCTGATGCACTGAGAAGTTAGGGTCTTAGACTTCAACAAGGGTTTCAACTTTTTGGGGTTTTTTTTATTAAAAAATGTATTTTGGTTT